ATCTTCAAGAAAAATAAAATGTAAAAAAAGATTTTTTTTTTTACATATACTCAACTGTTCGCTGATGCCAATCCTGCTGACGGAGAGCTCCTACTCTCGAAAAAGTACTCATGCGGACACCCACCAACACCTGCGCATGGGCCATAAACACTTGGTCGACCATCATGGGTCCAAAGATACCAAGTGCATCCACTGTCCCCATCGCATCATGATCCAAATACTGCCATCCAAGGTCTGCAAACCGTTTCAACTCTTCGGGTCGACGTTCATTCGTCGCCACAAAGACTGGTAACATATCCTGCAATCCATCCGAGTCGGATGTAAACGACGAAGACGACGACGATGAGGAGGATAAAGATGGATTCAACCGAGTCTGGATCTGATCCACACGTTCAGCGAATTCATCCGTCGAAGGGAAACAATGCTTAAACTTTTCGCCAGGAAAGGAGGATGAGCAATACTGGAAAAAGTCGCCTCGGCGTGCATGAATGGCAATATAGCCTGATCTCTTCCCTTCTGACGCCTCTCCATCCTCTCCATCCTGACCAGACCGGTCCGGGAGGCCCAGGTTCTTGTCCAAAAACGATTGAACAAACTCTTCCAAATCTTGCGTGAAATGCAAATGTTGTCCAAACCGTTCCCATTCCTTCTTGTCCTTGACTGCAATCTTGTACGTGTTGGAGATACAGAGGTATCGGTCCTCTTTCTTAGCTCGGAGTAATGATGCCACGTCCTGCAGCTTGTTCGCATCCTGTGACAACGGTGTCAAGGTCAGGTCAAACTTCCATTGCTTCAGGAACCCTTTGGCCGTAAAGTCGATGTCGCGTTTAGAACCAAAGCCGCAGGTAATGCCACACTGAAGAGAACTCATCTCGGCCAGTTCCTGGTCACGCAGTTGGTGAAATTCAACAACCCGAATGCCTGTCAAGGCTGTGAATCGATCAAGGTCCAGGAACTTTGACCAAGGTTGGTTCTGTTTGGACTTGTCGTGACTTGACGCCGTGATGGGTGGAATGATCAGTGTGCGCCCTGTTGCCTTGGCCACCTCCATACCACGGAGCATACCATAGAACTGATTGGTAATTCCAGCATAGGGCAAATATGTCAGGTACTTTGTCTCGCCGCCATCGTCGTCGTCGTCGTTATCGTCGTCGCTAATGCTTTCGAGAGTGTCTTCAAATGGAATCGGGATAGGCTCTGCTTCAGGGTCAAGGTCATGGTCATTATCATCAGCATTGCCGGTGCCATCATTGTCGACGCTCGTTAGACCTGAGAGGTGCTGATTTTCGTGCCCAGGCTCTTGACCATCGTCCTCAGAGTACTCTTGCGGTGTCGAGTCGTGGCCATCACTGTTGTTGTTGTCGTTGTCGCTGTCGTTGATAAAATGCGGGCTCTCAGTATTTTCAACGTTTGTGGATCCTTCTGTTTGTTCTTTTCCGATAATATTACTGTCTGTGTCCTGTCCCTGCAGGTGAGCCGTTGGTGGTGCAGGTGCCTGATGCTCTTCCATGCTCTGAGGTGATACAGACTGTGCTGGTTGTCCTGGCTGTTCTGGTGCAGGTACAGGTGGTTGTGCTGGTGCTGGTGTAGAGAGTTGTTGTTGTTGTTTAGGCTGGTCGAATCCAGGCACGCCCTTGTCATCGAGGTGAGGCAAGGCAGCTCGAGGTCTGTCATGGTTCTTGAAGAGACGGTTGTTGTCACTGTTTCGTTCTGGGTTGTGTAGCAGGTAGTAGTATTCTTGATCTTCATCAGACAGTGGTTCTATCCGACTTTGCTTCCCCTCTGCCCTCCAACGAGAAGAACGATAGGCAGGTGCGCAATCGGAAGTAGAAGATGAGGCAGCATCGTGTTGTTGCAGACAGGACGGAGAAGACCTTGAAAAGGGACTTGTGATATGGAAGACGATCATGGACCCGGATGAGATGAGGAGCATGATGGAGACGAGGAAGAGGATGCGACGTTGGGAATGACATCGTCTACCATAGGAGGGGTATCTTGCTGGCAGGCCATAGTGTGCTTTTAGTGTCTTTGGTGAGGCAGGCATGTGTGTGAGTTGGTTGTTGGTTCCTCCTGTTTGTATGAAGTGTGTTACTGGGTGGAATGAATGAGAATGAGGTAGGGTGTGGTGAAGAACCAAAGAGAGAAAGAGAGATGGATGAGAGAATAATTGAGGATGAAGAGATGCAAAGAGAGATGAAGGAATGAATGAAATGAAATGAATGAATGAAAGAATGAAAGAAAGAAAAGGAATGCTTTTTTGCATGGTATGGTGCAACTTTAAAAAAAAAAAAAAAAAAAAAAAGAATAGGACCCTAAAAATAAAAATAAAGCAGTTTGATCAATCAATGAAGTGACAATGATGATGAAAGAAAGAAGAAAGCAGAGAGTGCTCCAACTCCAACTTCAATTGCTCTTTACCTCTGTGCGCGCATATTTTTATTTTATTGTCCTATGCCCCTACAATGCTGTCCCTACATGTTTTCTTTTCTTGTCTTTTCTTTTGCCCTTGTCAATGCCCAATGCCTAACACCTCACACGACCGACATGCTCCAGACTCCTGCCTAAACCTGGCTCGTTCCTCCTTTCTCAGTCTGTCTCATCCTTCCTTGTTGTCCTTGGTCCCCCTCTTCCCTCCTTCCATCCCCTTTTTAAATGCATCCATCCATAGATGCATCTAAACCTTCGGCTCCTTGAAATTTCTTTTAAAAAAAAAAAAACCTGGACCCACCCACCCACACTCTGTTCCTGTTCGTTCGTCGCAGTTTTTTCTTTTCTTCTCCTTCTCCCTCTCCCTTTCTCCTTGGGGACCATCGGATGCGAAAAACGAATGCGGAGTTGTCTTTTTTATCGCAGACCATATCTGTCGCAGAGATGTAATGTCTCATCATCCATCCTTCCATTGATGGTATTCTTCCATAACCCCTGTAACCTTCTTACCCAACTCCACATTCTCGTCGTCTAGGGTTCAAAGGATCGACAAACAGCACAGAGCCATGGAGTGTTCTCATCTAACCAATGTCTCACTCACTCACTCGCTCATACAAGTATGCACAAGCATACACTCAAACAGACACACCCAGACACAGACACAGACACAGACACACGCACACAATCTCTCAATTCCTACTCGCCATTCTATCTCCTGTCTGTCAATCGGACTCGCTCCCTCCCTTGGCAACGGAAAAGATTCATCTCATCGAACGACTTCATTTTTCCGAGAAGGGTCCAACTCCTCTTCATTCACTCCACTCTCCGCCCACTCTTTCATCGAACTTTACATTACACACACACACACATCCTGGGATCTGGGGCACACAACATATCATCCTACCAATTAGCTCATCAACCAGTGCACAAGTCCAAAACACCAACCGCTTATTCACAAAAAAAAAAA